AAAAAGGCACCACGTGTGATCTGCATACGGGGATCAATTGTCGCGTCTCAACGGATGAAGTTATGTCCCCACGGTTTTGTTATGAAGGATTTCTGCCTACAACCCGCGATTATCGCGCTCTCTCTCTCTCTCTCTCTCTCTCTCTCTCTCTCTCTCTCTCTCTCTCTCTCTCTCTCTCTCTCTCTCTCTCTCTCTCTCTCATGCGCGCGCGCTCTCTCTCTCTGTCTGTGTGTGTGTGCGTGTGTGTCTGTGTATGATATCATCTGCTTTTCTGGCGACGTTTTTAATTTGCTTTGTGTAGCATCTGGAACTATTGGGGTAAAACCGTAAAACGCTCCTCTAGTTCCACAGACGCCGGTGGTTGGAGCCTCTGTACTGCGTTGTAAACTTTATTTTTGATTACTCTGTGGTTTCCTTGTTTGCTATTCTTGGAGATATCTGCAGCTCAGAAGGGATTTGATTGAGTGTAACATGTGCATGTGTTCAGAAGTGAACAACTGGTTTGAAGAGGCGGGGTGGTTTAAATTTGACAATAAAGAACAAAATACTGGGCTCTTTCGAGTCCGGTAATAAAAGGAGGGGTGGTTTTGTGACCAGAAGGGTTTCTTTCAATTGTGCACACTGCACACACAACTTTTCTAAATTTGTTTGGTTCTTGACCTCTTCTTGAATTCTTTCTCTGTCCTCCTAAATCTCTGCACATTGTTGGATTCTTATGCCACTTATGGTTTGGACCTTGTGGTGCTTTGTCATCCTTGAGATTTGGATGTTTGGACAGTGAATTTTGTAGCACTAACCCCAAACTATTGGATATAGAGCCTAATCGAAGTGCTTTCAAACCGATTTCTTTTTCCTTCTTATCCTTCTAAGTTTCAACCCTATTTCTTTTGTGTCAAAGCCTTGTGTTTGTGCTGCTGGACGAGCTACTTCTTCTTTTCCTTCCTTTCTTCCTTCCTTACTTCCATCCTTCCTTCCTTTCTTTCTTTCTTTCTTTCTCTCTTTCTTTCTTTCTTCCTTTCTTTCTTTCTTTCTTCCTTTCTTTCTCTCTCTCTTCCTTTCTTTCTTTCTGGGGAGCATCAGTTCGATTCCTTTTCCATTGGCAAATCATAGCATTACAACATTTACAATTTTACACCATCACACTTCCTTCCGTTTGGCCGAAGGAACCCTGAACAGCATTGATTACTCTGCAAGGAAAATGAGCAATAGCAAAATGACAGAAATCCCAGAGTGCAAAATCACATTGAAAGCCAGCAAGTCCAAACATTGTCCAGAAAGCAGTAATGCACTGATATTCCACCAACTGAGAAACAAAGCACTGAATCCGAATGTCAATGAGACCACCAACATGTGTATCCAGAGTCCTTCCTCCTACTTGGCGCTCAGCGCCCAGACTGCTATCACACAGCTTATTAGCAGCCTATGAATTGACAATGCATCCGGTTGGCGTCAGCAGCAGAACCGAAACCACCTCCACTGACTGTCGAAGCCCAGGTCCGGCTAGGTGGGCTGGGCGACCGCACACGCACACTTGCCATGCACTAGCGCAGCAGCCGGCGAGCGCTAGCTCTAGCAGCGCTGCCGCATCAGCGTGCAAGTGCCCGATCCTTCTCCCCGGCGCCCTGCCCTTTCCTACATGGAAAGTGGCGGGCGCTTTCGCTCGCTTCCCACGTGAGACCGAGTTTCCAGTAGCTTCAGTCTTGGCCAAAGTGTCTGCGCCCAGGCCCGCTAAGACAGTGGCCTGGGACCGAATTGGTTAGGCATGCCCAACCATCCAGGTACAAACATGTGGTGCTCCCTGCTTACACCACGTGCCGAAAGAGCCTGGAAGTTGGATTCTCACGAGCAAGGCGGATGCAACCAACTGGCGTGTGGCAACTATCTGGCGCCGACCAAGATTTGCAAAAATTGACGAGTTCAGGGCGCATGGAGATTCAAAGAGGTCCGCCTTCACTTGGGCGAGCACGCGCCTGCTGCAGGGCCCTATGTCGAGGCAATAACCCTCACAACTCCTTTCTTTCTTTCTTTCTTTCTCTCTTTCTTTCATCCTTTTCTCTCTCTTTCTTTCTCTCTCTCTTTATTTTTCTCCCTCTTTCTTTCGCTTTCTTTCTTTCTTTCTCTTTCACTCTTTCTTTCTCTCTTTCTTTCTTTCTTTCTTTCTTTCTTTCGTTTTTTCTTTCTTTCTTTCTTTCTTTCTTTCTTTCTTTCTTTCTTTCTTTCGTTTTTTCTTTCTTTCTTTCTTTCTTTCGTTGTTTCTTTCTTTCTTTCTTTCTTTCTTTCGTTTTTTTTTTCTTTCTTTCTTTCTTTCTTTCTTTCTTTCTTTCTTTCTTTCTTTCTTTCTTTCTTTCTTTCCTTCTTTCTCTCTTTCTTTCTTTCTTTCGCTCTTTCGCTCTTTCGTTCTTTCGTTCCTTCTTTCTTTCTTTCTTTCTTTTTCTTTCTTTCTTTCTTTCTTTCTTTCTTTCTTTCTCTCTTTCGTTCTTTCGTTCCTTCTTTCTCTCTTTCGTTCTTTCTTTCCTTCTTTCTCTCTTTCGTTCTTTCTTTCTTTCTTTCTCTCTTTCTTTCTTTCTCTCTTTCTTTCTTTCTTTCTCTCTTTTTTTCTTTCTTTCTTTCTTTCTTTCTTTCTTTCTTTCTTGGGGCAAGTAAGTTCATGTCAGAACAGAGTTCCGAATGGACAAAAAAAACCATGCGGGTAAAGAAAACAACTGCCGAGTTTGAAAAGGCAACGCAAGTACCGCGGTCGTGACAGAGATACAGGTTTCATAACTACAGGGGTGGGCCGTGGTGTCAGACGGGAAAGGAAAAAAAAAAAAGAAAAGGCCAATGGATCTATTCCGGCATTCATTGACTTTTTTAGTTCCGCGGAAGTTGTTTTTTCCCGCACATGTAGTTTTTGCCTTTGTGAACTCAAAACCTGCCACGTCCACACTTGTTGCATCTTGCTTCCTCTCTCTCTCTCTCTCTCTCTCTCTCTCTCTCTCTCTCTCTCTCTCTCTCTCTCTCTCTCTCTCTCTCACTAAGGACATTGCGTCACTTCAAGAGTGCTGGTTCCGAGAAAACAAAAGTACTGACGATAATTGGCACGTTTCACAGAATGGTTGCGAACACGTATGATATCACAGATCTGCGATATGAAGTTGTTTTGTAAAGAACTCAGACAGATGGACTACCCATGGAGGATAACCCGCACGACGATTTTGGCGTTCATCAGAAACTTCAAAGACACTGAAGTCCGGAATAAATTTCGTGAGTGTCTGGAAGCTGAAGAAACACAAATCGAGTAATGATATAAATCCAGAGAAGAGAAATATAAAAGCAACAACGGGCATGCGACTGAAAACACCTGAAAATCACATAAAGGACCTGTAAAATCTACAGATATAATGATGCAAGAATTGTCGTATTGATTACATACACAGTGAAATGAATCGAATTGAAACCCAGGATAAGCATACGTTTCCAAGTACAGGATAAACAAGCAGCAAGAAAATGAAAGTGCTCACCTGAGAGATAATGATGGAACCCACGACCGTGCGAAGGACAAGAGCAACAAGCAAAGCCAGATGCAAGTCAGTAATCCAAGATAGATATAAAGTTATAAACACGAAGAATATCGACAGAAATTCGTCCGAAGGGAAAGCAACTAAATGAGGACCAAATTCCGACCAAAAGAGGAATAGAAATAGGAACTGACATTAACACAGGAGCGTACGCAGGGTTAAGATGTTATATACAGCAACATAAAAATCGACGGCTACGGGAAATCAACGACGACAAGGGCATTACAGAGCGTGACTACGGGAAACTCAGAGGCAACGATGATGAGGATGTTGCAGGGAATGAGGACAAGTAGGAGGGAACGATAAGGAAAATAGGGTATAAATTCAGGGACAGTGGCTGAAAGGATTACCTGAGCAGTGAGGTAGAAGGGTAATCGCGACAGTTGTCGCATGCCATGGACAGGACGTGAATGCTGCGAAAGTAAAACCTCGCACGTGTTGTCTATTATTGCAACTCTCTCTCTCTCTCTCTCTCTCTCTCTCTCTCTCTCTCTCTCTCTCTCTCTCTCTCTCTCTCTCTCTCTTTGTGATAACCCGTCCAAACACGGACTGAAACACAACTGATTTCTGAGTTTTGCTCATGGACTGAATGCCCTACTGAGCTCCCCGCCTGCTAAGTCTGTGTGTGTGTGT